GGAGGCAGGGGAAGAGGGAGAAAGAGAACTTGATGTGAGAGGCAACTCAAGGCAGAGTAGTTTCTCATGGACGCCAACATGAACATCAAGATTGCAGATTGCTGATCAGTTCGGGAGGGTGGGGGGAGAGGCGTGTGATGGTGGGGGGCAACTCAAGGTTTAGAATCTGCTCGTGGACGCCAACATAAACATCAAGATTGCTGGTCAGATTTGGGAGAGGGAGAGGGGTGGACAGGAAGCTTAAATTATGGGATTGGACTGTCTACTTTTCTTTCTCCTTTTTGTCTCTGGATCTATGTCACCGTGCATGCTCAAATGACCGTATGCAGTTTCAAGTGCTGTAAAACTTTTACCAAACTGAAACTGAAAATCATATCTTTGTTTCTCTATCTGTCTCTCTCAATCTGTGTGTGTGCGTGTGTATATATGTATATATTTATATACATTTATAACTACATCTCTCTCCCTCTCACCCATCCAGACTTTGGTTTCGGCAACTTCTACGAGCCTGACCAGCTCCTGGCCACATGGTGTGGTAGTCCGCCGTATGCTGCTCCCGAAGTCTACGAGGGCAAGAAATACCTGGGCCCGCAGATTGATATCTGGGTGAGTGTACCTTTCTTTCATTCATTTATTCATTCATTCTTTCATTTATATATCTGTGAAGCGTGCTGACAAAATTAGTTATTTCTTGGATTCAGGCCTGATAGCAATAGACACACCAAGCTTTTAGGTGAAGTTTTTACAATTCATAAGTATGAAATAATAAAAAGAATGTTATACTGAAAGAATATGGTATCAATAGAAACTCTGCAAATTCGAATTTAGTGTCGAGTTTTGGCCAATATCTCCATTTGTGGATTGCGAGAAGTGACTCATTTTGTCAGCACGCCTCACTTTATTCATTCATTTATACGTTCATTCTTTATTTTTTCAAATTCAAGAAGCAACAGGTATAGAAATTCATTAATTCCGTCATCAATAAGAGCTATTCAGTCATCGTTAGGTGTACTGGAATAACCTTATTTGTATGTCCAGCCGATGGCAATTCACTGTTCAAATGTGAGAGCGTCTGTGTGTGAGTGTGTTGGGTAGGGCGGGGGGGGATGAGAGAGAGTATGTATTTATACGTGCATGTGTATGTATGTAATTACCTTGCCACAACAAGATTTTCTTTGTGGAAATCTATGAATCCATATCTTATCTCATTTTGCCTTGTCATTGATACTTTCATTTTGTATTCAATTCATTTGAGTCTGTATTTCTTCCGGTTTGTCAATCTTTTGTTCATTTCCTTATCCCTATTTTTTTCATTCATTCCATTCTTAAGTTCATTCAAGAATTAGTTTGCTTGTTTATTTACGTTTTCATGTTCTCATCTGTTGTCTCGTTCAATCTGTTTCTCAGTCGCAATTTCGTTGACTAATATTTTTTTTTATCCAGACATCTCATCTCACGACTTCTATGTAAAATAATGAATTAATTTATTTGTCCATTAATCCGGTCTGTATTGAATTAATTCATTATTTTGTTTTTAATCTGTTTTCTTTTTCTTTTGTGGTGCATTTAATTGTTCTCCAAACCTTTATTTACAGAAAATGATTAGTCAGCTGTTTGATATTTGTTTGTTTTTATTCATCATTAGTTTCTTCAATTATTTTGTTTCTTCAGTCTTTTTTTCTTTAATCATGTGTTCCTTTAATTATTTATATTTTAATTAATTCTTTTCCTTAATCATTTCTTTTTTAAAGTAATGTTTTTTAAAATATTTGTTTCACGCTATTGTTTATTTTTTCGTTATTTGTTTCTTCCTTATATTTATTTGTTCATTTTCCTTTGCGTTTTTGTTGTTGTTGTTTTTGTTTTTTTTCTCTGCCCTGGTTGGCCTGATAGGCAAAGTCAGAAGCCTGCCTCTTAAATTACCTAAATTGTGTCGATAAACATGTTTATTCATAAACAAAAGGTGACAAGTAAATGATCATTGAGTTTACTATTTCTTCATTTCTTCCTTCCCCCCCCCTCCTCCACAGAGTCTGGGTGTGGTACTGTATGTGCTGGTGTGTGGAGCTCTTCCGTTTGACGGGCCCAATCTCCAGGTGCTGCGGGATCGAGTCCTCTCCGGCAGGTTCCGGATCCCATATTTCATGTCTTCGGGTGAGTTCTGTTAGAATTTTACGCCTCCCTTTTACATGTAAATAAGAAGGTTGGTTCAAAAGGATATTTTTAGGACCTTTTTCCAGGGTGAAGGGCTAGAACTAAGATGGCCGCTAGATCGATCGGTGAAGTTAAAAACAAAGTAAAATATGGCCTTTTTAAATTCAAGATGGTGATTTTGAAGGGCATAGAAATGGATTTAACGCTTCAGTCACACAGCCAATAGTATAAAGTACCCCATCTGGTCACCTGGCCAGGAGAGTAACTGCAGCAGATTTCTCGGGCCTGTCGCAGAACTGCACCAAATGACCGGAACGGATCATTTTCACTGTCACATTATTGCGGCAAGTGATTGCAAAATGTTAAAGGGACTCTAGGTGCAGATGGGTCATTTCAAAGATATGAGCATATTTTGTATCAATTGAAAGCTGCATTCGTTAAGTTTTAAAGGTTCTTTTTACTTACTGAAGGCTGTTTTGAGGCAAATGGGACAAAGGTGAAAGGGCTGGGGGAGTATTTGATATTGTGGATATGTATGTGTTTTGCGTGTATGTGTGCATGCATACATGTATTTCTGTATATTTCTCCATATATATATTCTGTGTTTGTGTCTCCCCACACTCACTTTCCCTCCCACCCCCCTCCTCCCATCCCCCACAGAGTGTGAACATTTGATACGCAGGATGCTGGTGCTAGAGCCCAGCAAGCGCTACTCCATGACACAAATCCGCTCCCACCGCTGGATGCAGATAGACGGGGGGTACCCCCGCTCTGCTCCCCCGTCCCCCATCGTCGGCTACAATGCAAAGGTCGGGGAGTTCAACGAGCAGATTCTCCGCATCATGCAGAGCCTGGGCATAGACCAGAAGAAAACTATGGAGGTCAGTCGGTGTGTGTTTGTTGGGAGTCGGTGTTTTATTTTTGCCGGCGTTGACTGTCCTTTTAGGTGACAATTAAGAACTTTAGACTCTGGGCATAGACCATAAGAAGACTATGGAGGTCAGTCGGTGTATTTGTCTAGAGATTCATGTTTTGTTTTTGCCTCTGAGTTAATATTAAGTGATAAAATATGAAGTGTGCTGACCAAATGAGTCGCTTCTCGAATTTAGGCCTTACAGAAATTGATACTGGTGAATTTTTTACAATTTATAAGTATGAAATAATAAAAGGCATGTAATACTTAAAGAACATGGCATCAATAGATATTCTACAAATTGGACCCTAGTGCTGATTTTTGGCCAATATCACCATATGTGGATTGCGAGAAGTAACTCACATTGTCAGCGCGCCTCACAAATGTATTTGACATATCCCTGCTCGGTAGCAAGCTCTATGCACTACCTGGGCAGACCCTAGAGAGCTTGAACAGATTGATGATGAGGAAAGATCAGGATAATATTCTTTATGTTGCAAGTGTTGTCTACTTTTTGTTTTTGTTGTTTTTCCCCTTGATCAGGCACTACGCAAAGACGCGTACGACCACTACACTGCCATATACTACCTTCTCCTGGACCGGCTCCGACACCACCGCAGCAGTTTCCCAACAGACACACGAGTGGATGCACGCCGCAGACGGCCCAGCACCATCGCCGAACAAGCCATGCTGCAGAATCTGGCGGGCCGGCCACTGATCGGCACAACAAAGCACGCAGGCTTCTCCCGTACCATGGACGCGCCGGGGGTCGGGACGGTGTTGGTGCACAGAGGTTACCCCCTCTCCGAGGTGGACGTGGTCCCGCCCCCTCCCAGCGTGCCCCACTGTATGAGCGAAGTCCTCCCGCAGCCCTTCCCCAAGCCACAACCCTTGGCTCCCGGCGGGCCAGGCGCGGGCTCGGCGGCAGGCAGCGTCATTACGACGTCAATCGACGAGGGAGTGGAGGTCGATATCATGGACCGGCGCGACTCCGACGCCGATTCTTTGTTGGGAGGGTGCGGGGGCTATCCACCGCGGGCCGGTGGGTCTTTCTCTGGTTTCAGCCCACGCTCGGGCATGCTGGACTCGATTCACACGCAGAGCGGGAATAGCGTGACACTCTCACCGTGCACCAGTTTCGATTCTAGTCTGGGCGTCGATATGTCCACCCCTTGCCCGCCGCCAGCCTCACAACAACAACAACAACAGCAGCAGCAACAGCAACATCTTCATCATCAGTATCTTCATCAGCAGCAGCAGCTGGCGGGGATGACCCCCATGTCTTCGTCAACATCATCCCCGCCACTGCCCCACCGCGGGCCGCTGTCCCGTCCGGTGACCTCCGGGTTTGCCCTGGCCAGAGACGCCCTCCTCGCTGGTGGGGGCAGCTACAACAACAACCGCAGTGCCGGTGGGCTGGCTGGTGGTGGTGGTGGGATGTCCCATCAAGACGGCTTTAATCCCGCCGCTGGTGGTGGTGGGTCAGAGCAGGGGTCGGCAGGCCCCATGCTCACGCTGAACCCCATGCTTCTGTCCCACCTGACCAACGTGAGCGTGGTGGGCAACCCGCGACACACCCGTTACTCCATCAGCGGGCCGTCGGGCGGCATGGGTCCCGTGTCGCTTCACCCAGACATGGGCGGGATGAGCGGGCCCCAGTTCCTGCAGGTACATTATAATGTTTGCTGGTATAGTACATGCTCACACTCGTGCACTTCCTACTGCCACTCCTGATTCCTTCTTACTGTTGTCTTTCAGCCTCACCCCTGATCTCAGGGTGATGATAAAACGTTTTGAAATGACCTTCAACATTAAATTCAAACCAGATGATAATATAATGTTTTAAAATAACTTTCAACATTAAATTCAAATAAGGTAATATAGTATTCTTAAATAGCTTTCAACATGTAGTTTAAATATTTATTTGATATTGTTTCATAATCTTGTGAAAAATGAAATTTTTTGTCCAGGTGAATCCTGAGCTACCTCAGCCAGAGGAAATGCTGCAGGATCGAGCTCAGACAAGGTCACCGGTCAACTTCCGTGAAGGTCGGAGGGCGTCGGACGGTCTGGTCACTCAGGGGATTATTGCGTTCAAGCAGAAACTAAAGGAGAGCATGAGGGCGCAGGGCATGCTGGAGCTGAGGCAGGAACATCATCAGTTACAGGTGAGGGAGGGGAGAGAAAGAGAGAGGGAGGAGGGGAGAGAGAGAGAGGTGGTGGGGAGGCGAGGGGGGAGGGGAGAGAGAGAGAAGGAGAGCATGAGGGCACAGGGCATGTTGGAACTGGGGCAGGAGCATCATCAGTTACAGGTGAGGGGAGAGGCCGAGGGGGTGGGGGGTGGGGGGGAGAAATAGAGAGTAGACAGATAGAGGGAGACCAACAGAAAGACAGAGATAGACAGAGAGATGAAGAGGGACAAAGAGCAAGATAGACAAAGGGTGGAGAGTACGAGTACCCAGGGAGTGCTACAGTAGAATACATTTGCCTTTAGGGACAAGAAGAATGTGGGTGGTTGGAGGGTGGCAATTGTAAGTCCTACTTGTTTTCTTTCTCTCTGTTGTTTCTGTCTTACTCTTATTGTGTTGCAAGTGCTATAAAACTCTTTCAATTCCGTTTCCCCACGTTACACAGAACATGTACAGTTCATCATCGTCGGCGTGCGAGGAGAGCCCGAACAGCCCCACCCCCGCCCTCAACATCTCAGTGGTCCCGTCAGCCAACAGCAACAACAGCGCTGTCCTCCTCTCCAGCGGAGACAACAGCCCCACGGGAAGCAGCAACAGCAACAACAGCAGCAGCAGCGTGGTTCTGTCACCGGCCAGCAAGTTGCCTCCCCCTCACCGCAAGCTGTCAGCGCCGCATCACGGCTTCCGTCAGTGGTCATTGGACGAGCCCACTAGTCAGAGGAGGCGGCCGCTCATGAAGAGGATGTCGCTGCCCTCAGAGACGTTTGATATACAGCCGCAGCGGTTGTTGGCCCTCAAACAGGCCATACGGGTCAGTTGTTGTGATGTTGTGATGGTGGTGATGTTGTTGTTGTTGTTGACAGAGACGTTTGATATACCGCCGCAGCGGTTGTTGGCCCTCAAACAGGCCATACGGGTCAGTTGTTATGATCATTGTCAGTTGTTGACTGCGGGGGGCAATTTCCATCCCCCTTTTTTTTTGTTCATCATTTCCTTTTTTTTCTATTTGGTGGGTGCTCTGGTGTGGTTTGTTCCTTCTTTCCTATCAAATATCTATCGTCATCTCTCCTCCTGTTTTGTGTTTTTTTCTCTCTTGTAACATTTTTAATCTGCAGCACTTATATGACCTATTGTTTTGCAAGTGCCGTAAAACTCTTACTACTTGTTTTTTCACGCCCCTATAGGTAGAGGAACATCTGGTCAAAGCCAGCAGCCAGGAAAGAGTGGACTCGAACCAGGACCTATCAGGCTCTTCCCCTACCCACGAAGCAGTCATGAGCCCAGTGGGGGCTGGAGGTGGTGTTGGTGGAGGCGTCGGTGTCAGTAGCGGGATGGGGACCGAGTCTGGGGCTGGAGTGACCGGAGGACTGACCAGTGGAGCGGCCGGAGGGCTGACTGGTGTGGGTGTGACCGGTGCTGGTGTGGTCAGCGGTTCGTCCCCGAACCAGCTGCGACTGCAGCAGAAGAGGCAAACGTTCCAGAAGCATGGCCAGCTGGCGCAGCAGTTCCAGCAGATGCATCTGGTGGCTCAGGTGTCGCCGGCGGTGGCCGGGGTCACGGGGGTCGCCGCGGGAGCTCACCACACACCCATCTCACAGGTAGGAGTATTTTGGGGATCCTTTGTCGTTGAGTTTGTGGTTTTTATTCTCCCTTGGTCAGGCACTACGCAAAGATGCGTATGACAAAGTTTGGGAGGGGGGGTGATGGGAATGTGTTTTGATGCTTGGATCAGGGGGGTTTTTGTGTTGGTAGGACGGGGGGAGGGGGGGGTTGGGTTGTTTTTGTTTTTCTGTGGTAGTTGGAGAAATGGGGGGGGTTGTTTGTGAAAGGGTGAGGGAAGGGAAGAACAGAGAGATTGGGAGAGATTTTGCTTTAGTTTTTTAGTACAGGTTTTACGGCGCTCGCTACTGCATAAGGTCATGAATATGAGTGCCAGAAGATTAGAGGTGCTACAAAGGGACTAACAAACATAAAACAGAAGGAGGGGGAGATAAAGACGATAGATGTTTGATAGGAAAGAAGGAGCAAACCACACCAGAGCGCCCGCCAACCACCCACTGGGAGAGATTTGATAAGGTAACCGAGAAAAGGGAGCAAGTAATAGAGGGAGATGGGGATAGGGGATTTGTGGAAGAGTGAGGAAAGGACACTGAGTGATGGGGAAGAGAGAGAGAAAGAGGCGATGGGAGAGAAAGAGGCGATGGGAGAGAAAGAAACGGAAAAAGAAAGAAGGAAGTGTAAATAATGGGGAGAGGGGAGGGTTTGTGGGAGATAAGGATAGAAGTAGAGAAAGAGAGGGGAGGGAAAGAGGCAAGAAAAGAGGGAGAAAGTTGAAGGCAAAGACGAAGAGAATTGGAAAATTGAGGGAGAAAAAGACATCAATGGCACAGAAATTGTGAGGCAGTGTGGTGAAATCAGGCGCTCGTCAAAATAATTAAAGTGAAGAAAAGTGGCATTTTTCCGCCGGTATTAATTTTTATCGAATTTTTGCTTTTTTGACTCAACACCTTTCATGCCCATTAAAGAACATATTTCTGTGTGGATTTTACTGAAAAACATGGATTAAAGGCACACAAAATGTAAATTTTCAGTTTCCATGAATTCTCAAGCTAAGGAAAAAACTCTTTCGCGGCCATTTCCTCTCTTATTTAACCTGTGACCCCTACCTTCTTCATTCACAAATATCTCAACTTCTATTCAAGATAAATGGGTATTTTTTCGTCCTAAGCAAGACCAATGAACAAGCTTTAAGATGATAGAAAGAACTCTACATGCCCAAATATTGACGAGAGCCTGATTCCACCACATACAATTGTGCTTCTAGATTATTCACTGCATACAAACATACAAACATATAAACAAGCAGAACATAAGAACAAACAAAAGAACATACATGCCAACAAAGAACATACACTTACAAACAATCAAACATACAAACATATAAACAAGCAGAACATAAGAACAAACAAAAGAACATACATGCCAACAAAGAACATACACTTACAAACAATCAAACATGCAAACAACCAAGCACGCAAACAAACAAACAAACAAACAAATGAACAATGGCTTGTTCTGTCTCGTTCTCAGGTAGCCCCATCATTACTGGCCCCCGCCTACCTCAGCCAAGTGATGGGTCAGACGCCCACAGGGGTGGCGCAGATGCAGTTGTTAGCACAGCAGCAGCAGCAACAACCACAACATCAACAGCAACAGCAGGAGCCAATGGTGCACCAGCAAGGGGAGTTGGGACCATCGGTCAATTTGAATCTAGTCTCCGCCCCCCTTCTCCCCTCTCAGAGCACATCTGGCTGTCAGCCAAATGCCAGCTCTCCTAGGCCCAGCCTCTCCGATGTAACGGGTGCCCAGATCCTAGTCTCTACTGGCTCCGGCTGTCAGCCCAATTTCTTTGGAGTGGACAGCAGTGTCCTGCAGGCAGCCCCCCCTGGTGTTGTGGCCCAGTCGTCGCCGCAGATGTTGGGTCAGCCCCAGCCCGCGCAGCCGACGCCGAATGTTGTGTGTCCGGAGGTTTACGTACAGACCAGCGGTGAGCTGCCACTGGGCGGGGTAAACGATGGCCAGTCGGCTCACTCTCATTCGGGTTTGAATTCAGAAGGCTCAAACTCTACTGCTTTAGGTTTCGGCTCAGCGTGTTACGAGATGTTGCCACAGCAGCAGCAGCAACAACAGCAAGGGTCTCCGTTGTTCCCAGGAGATAGTACTCTGCAAGGCCTTGCAATTTCAGGATCCATCGGTGGAGCAGTTGCGGGAAGCTGTGCACAACAGCAACAGCAGCAGCCTCAAGAGCTGTTCCCCAGCCTGTTTGAGCAGCGTCTGGCCATGTCGTCTTTCTCCCAGCAGCCATTTGGTGAGCAGCTGCACAGCTTGGTCGCCTCCCCTTCTCCTTTTGAGATGGGCAGAATTGCCGTTGGCGCAGGTGGTTTCGCCGGTCTCGCTCACCAGGGTATGGGCGGCTACCAGATGGACATGGCTTCCAGTGGGATCCCCATCTTCCCCAAACAAGATCCTACCGTGACTGCCGACAGCCCACTGGATCCATTCAGCCAGCAGCAGCAGCGACTCAATCCCGCTCAGGTTTTCTCGAGCAAAATGGATCAATCTTTACCGCTGAACGTAGCCGGATGTGGAAGCAATAACGACAACACCAGTTCGGTTTGCCTTGAAAGCAATAACAGAACCTTTGCTGCAACCTCTGCCCTTTCAGCCCCCACCCACCACCATCAGAATCTGCCCGTAGCTGTGGGTGAGTCGCCAGGGAAAGATGAAGGTCTCGTGGCAGTCAGTCAGGGGCTAACCCACCACCACCACGTGGGAGCCGGAGGGTTTGCCGGTTTGGGCCCAGATGTGGGCCGAATTGCAGGACCTCAAGATTCGGTGGGTCCGTGTGTCGTAATGGGTGGTGGTCAGACGGGACTCCCGCTAGGTTTCGCTGGTCAAGGTCTACATGTGGGACATCATCTGTTCTCTCCCCAGCAGCAGCAACAGCAGCAGCAGGGTGCGGTTTTCGTGCCATCGGGATTGTCTTCTGCTGCGCAGACGACTGACGTAAATTTTCATCCTCATCATCATCATCATCCTCAACAACAGCTTCCCGTGCAGGTTGGGGGCGTGAACAACGAATTGGACACAATCATGGCTGAGGATTCATCGCAGTCCCAGACGTCCTCCCGTCACCACGGCAATGACAGCAGCAGTGGTGGTGGGTGTGTTTTGGCGCCGCACCCTTCGTCGTCGACGTCGCCCTCATCGTCTGCCGCTGTATCAGTGGATGGTCAGATGTCAGACATCCCTCTCATGACCTCTGTGGCGGAGGGTGCTACGGGTCTGGGTCAGTGGCATCGACGCACAGGCGTGTTTATGGCAGTCCACCCATTTCAGGACCAGAACAGCATGACCTTATTGACCTCTGGTGTTTTCCCTCCACCCTCCTCATCTCCCTCCTCTCCCTCTTCTTCCCCCACCCCCTCCCCCTCTGCCTCATATCAACATCAGGTGTTGTCCTCCTGCCATCCTTCCTCCTCGTCCTCCCCCTCCTCCACCTCCTCCGCCGTTCCTCCTCCTTGCCCTTCCCCTTCGAGTCTGACTTGTCATGCTACATCAGCACCTCTAAGCCCCGCCTCTAGCCCTGCCCTTCTGTCAGATCACCTGTCATATTCGCCGCAGCTCATACCTCCCTCCTTGTCTCCAACACCACCCGGTCGCCCCTTAAGTCCTTCACTATCTGCGATAACAACAGCGGAGTTGCCTCCCCTCGACGAGGCGTCCGGATACCAGGACTGTGCCACACTGATCTCCTCTCACCCGCCATCATCATCGCCATCACAGCTGATTCACGGAGCAAACGGGTTTGTACCCACGCCGCTACTGGACGACATCGTTGATCGTTGCGATGTCCCGGCCAGTGGGTGGGGCTACCTGGGGGAGGAGCAGATGGATGTCACATGACCCTAACCCCTCGTCCGTCATTGGTGGGCAAGCTTCGGACTTGAACTGCAGTTTGTTGGAATTACTTAAATATCACTTCATCATACGAAGTCTTAACCCTGGAGGTAGACTCTTGTTTCATGCTGTTGTTTCAATGCATGTATTTTTTTTTTTTAAATCTTAGATCGCGCAGAAGACACTCCAATGTGTTGTCATTCTGCCCTAGCGTATACACTTGTTCATATCGTCCTGTTTGAATTGTTGCCAAAAGCCATAACGAGCATACTTACTTCTTCACCAGATGTTCTGGATCATCAATCACGTTAATGTACAGTCTTCAGTGGAAAAGAAAATAAAAAGAACATTTTTTGTTTTCTGAGAAAAGAGAAAGACGTAAATGAGGAAAAAGAAAGATGATACTGCCCTTTCAAAGGCTATCGTCATCTTTTGGATGTGACAACATTTATATACTGAGAGTGAGAAAGAAAGAGATGTGTGGGGGAAAAGAAAAAAAGAGATGATACTAATTACTACCCCCCCCTTTGAAGATAATCGTCATCTTTTAGATGTAAAGTGATATGGATAACGCAAGTGTTGATGGACCAAGATATACGTATACGCCAGCTCGCAAATATCTGCTCGTGGGGAAAAGACGGTGGATCTTGGGTTTTTTATATGTGGTGACAGTGTCTCATTATTTTCCTACAGTGGGACCGGTCGCGCACGATGAGATGAATTCGCATAGTGATTGCAATGTTATCCGGTGTGCCGTGGTAAAAAAATGTTTCAATCAAAGAAAGCTCGCGAAGAACTCTTTCATTTACTGTTGTGCCATTAAGGAGACTAGAAGCTCGCTCCACTCTCTGTCTGCCCACACACCCACCTACCCACATGAAACAAGGGGGATGGGGGGGGGGGGGGCTGTCTGTCCACACACCCACCTACCCACATGAAACAAGGGGGGTGGGGGGGGGGGGGGGGGGGGGGTTCGTGATGTTTCTCTCATCGTCGTCACGGAGACAAGGGCGTGGTTTCGCTTATTATGACGAGATAGAGGAGGGGTGATATGACACTAGTCAATTTGCTGTGATTCTGTAGTCTTTGACTTGACTTTTGGAATGTTTTTTCATGGGAGACTTGTGTTGTTGTTTTTTATATAATAGAATGTGACTTCTTGGAAAAAAACAATTCATCAAAGGAGGAGACTAGATATTGGAATGTCAAGGGATGCCTTGGCTGCTTGTTGCTCATTCTAATGTCAAGGTCACATTAGCTGTTTGTTGAATTCTTAAGTCATCAACATGTGCAACTGCCTGGTCATGGTAGCTAACTGGCTAGGTGTCTAGTATATGTGTGTTTGTGCATATGTGCGTGTTTGTGTTTGACAGACAAGTGCTCTTTTTTAATTTTATGCAAGTTTTATTGCACTTGCAACACAATTAAGGTCGTATAAGAGCAGAAGATTAGAAGTGTTACTAGAGAGTAATATACAAAGAAAAAAAATATGTGTGTAGATGGATGGGTGCGAGAACAGATATGTGTGTAGCATTATGGTGAAATCAGGTGCTCATCAAAACTATGAAATTGAAGAAACGAATATTTTTCCGCCTATTAGGCATTTTTTAATTACTTTTTTTTTTTCTCAACACCTTTTACATCCATGTAAATATACATTTCAGTGTGGATATTACTGAAAAATGTTGGTCCAAAGCACATAAAATATGTGTGTGCCTAAAGAAAGGTACAAAAAGTTGCCACAGAGAATTTTGAGCCACAGGCGAATAATGACAAAAAATCTCTTTTTTGACTGAAATGTGTTTCCATTTAAAAAATGATAGCTCAACGTTTTTTTAACAATGTGTTAAGAGGATTTTCATTGATTTGGCTTCTAAATATTTTGTTTTGAATAATTTTGAGACTAGGGTATTTTTTAAAGATATAACGGAAACTGCTTTTAGAAGATGTTAAAATCTATTCTTGAAGCATGTTTTCTCTTCCCCACAATGTTTTACCATTGAATTCTAATCATGATGTTGATGTCAACTGAATGCCAAATTGGAAATGAATTTTCCATGAAAAAAATACGTTAGAAATAATTGAATCATTGTTTTGTTTTTTCAAGTTTGTAAGTGTCCTGAACTTAAAAGCTAATTTTCTCATAATTAGATCTTTATACCCTACCTCACAAAATGTGCAATATCTCAAAAACTACTTGAGATATCTCCCCCCAAAAAATCAAACACCACTGTGTTCAGCATTGAATTTTCTATCAAATGCAACCCTCAACTCAAAATGGTCAAAATCCAACTTTTTGTACCTTTCTTCTTTAGGCACACACGCAAATAGAAATTTGCAGTTACCAAGGACACTCAAGCTGTGGAACTCACCAAAATTTGGTGGCCATTTTCTCGCTAATTTTACACCAATCTGACACCAAGTGATTCCCAATTTCTCCGACTGCAAATATCTCGCTACTGTTCAATAAAGATGGATTTTTTTCATGGAAAGCATGGCAAATTTATACGCCAGCTGTAAGACTATGCCAACCAGTCTTTATGCCCAAATATACAAACATTGATTCCAATTGTGAAAAAGAACGGTTTGATTGAGTGAATGTGTTGCTGTCAGAAGAAAAGAATGCCATTTGTTCTGATAGAATTTATTTTGCAATCTTAGAGAGAAAAAAACAACACTTGTTCTGTTTGAATGAATTTTTATTATCATGGGAAAATAACACTGTATGAATTTTGCAATAATGGGAAAATGGGCATGTTGACTTGAATGCATTTCACTATCATGCTGAAATATGGTTTTAAAGCCATTTGCTCTGTAGTAGGGGCAGAAGTGAGCTGTCGGATATGTTGCCCACTTTGTGGTGGAGACTTGTTGTAATCTCCGAAGCTTGATCTGTTTGCTGTAGATGAAAAAGAGGGCAGTGTTTGTTGAGTAGTTCTGCGCGACCCACCCCTAGCAATAACTTTGTACTGTATCTTTGACCTGCCGTCCACTGCCTGTGTTTTGCTCCATGTCACCACCGCCCGTCTGCGACTGTCGTTGCCAGGCGCCATCTGCCATCGTCCTTCTTGCATCTCTATGATGATGCTCAGTAAGGTCAAGGGTGTTGGGCCATGCGCTTTTCTGGACCAGTTGTAGATGACACGAGTGTTTTCATTCCAACAAAGTATCTTTTGAACTTTGTGCTGACAATATTTTTTTTCCTTGCTTTGGTTCTGTTTTATGTCTTCAGTTTTTCACGTCTTTTTTTCCTTTTTGACTGTATTTTTTTGTTTCCAATGCCCCTTGAATTTTAGTTAAAAGCACTGTGGTCTTGTTCACATATATTATTATTGTGTGTAGTCTCTTTGTTCTTCAATTTGTTTTTGTTTTGTCTTTTTTTGGGGGGAGGGTTGTTGTTTTGTTGGGGTTTTTGTTTTTGAGAAAAGAGAACAAGGTCAATGTCTGGCTGAGAATGCGTGACTTTCGCCTTCCTTATCGAATCAAACGAGCCCTTTGCAAGGTCAAGGGTAATATGTGCTGAGATTGTCTCATGTGTGTCTAGAAGAGTGTGTGTTGGGAGGGGAGGGGGGGGGAACCCAGTTGAGTACTGAGTTGTTGTTGTGGTACCGCCTCACTGGGATAATTCCACAACGTATGTTTGTACATATCCATACTACCAGCTATATCTCCCTGTGACTCTAGTCGCCATCTCACTTCAGTCTGGAACACCAGGAGGATTGAGATGTGGATGGAATAAATATGTTTTTGAACTGTTTGCAACGATGACTTAACGTGTTGTTACTTGTGTAGTTTTCAGAAGATGCAGCCAAAACTGGCCCCAGCTTAGACTCGTCGCTCTTTCTTTTTTTCTTTTTTTTTTCTTATTAAGCCAAACGCGCGTGCATGCTTTTCTTCAAGACAGCTGCAAACTGTTCATCACTGCACGACATTTCCACTCTCACTTTCACTCAAGAATCAAATTTACACAATTGTGCCCTCTTACGATGACACTGTGGGTTGCTGAAAGTGCTATCAGAAGGTCCTTCCTCTTTCTCTGAGCTGTTCGTTTCTTCTTGGTTTTTTTGTGGAGGGGGGGGGTTTTCTTGTTTTTATGCTAAAAAGACGTAACTCTGATCTGAACTTTGGTTGTCATGTTGTTTTTTTCTGTGCAGTACATCACCGTTTTCATGTCTATGTGCTTCTGTCTAGCTCCATTCAGATTTGTTCAGACATTTATTTGAAAATTTAACAATATTTTTTTCTCAATTATGAATGGACAACACCAGATTTAAATCTAGAAGGTTTTTTTTGTTTGTTTTATATTTCAGGTGGGGGTGGGGGGAGCAGGGAGATGGACACTGAGCTAAAAGATATGATTACTGTTGACAATTGAAACTTCTTTTGTGTCGTCTTCTTATGATGTACTGTTCTTTCAAATATTGTTATCTTGCTCATCTTATTTGTCCGTCTGTTTGTCCGAGAAATCTAAGTTTTATGGGTTTGTCTGCATGTGTGTTTTGGTTTGGTGTGTGTTTATGTATTTATGTATGCGCATCGGTCTTTCTCAGTCAGTGTGTTACAGTCCATCAAAGCAATAACATGTAGGTTTTTTAAAAATCAGTTTGTATATCATGCGTAAATTCTTTCTTTCTACTGATTGAAATGGGCCATGTTACTTAAATATAAACGGAGAAAATCTTGTCTGCACTGGCTTTGTGTGAACCCAGTATAACTATAACATGTGTGTGTGTATGTGTGTGTGTGCACGTTTGTTTCTGATTTTTCCCAGCTCACATGCGTCTGTGGTATAGTTATGGCTACGGCCTTCGTCACCACTGTTGCAAAGTTGAGGCAGCCTGCCTCCTAAACGATTTAGAAAATGTTGGTAAGGATGTCGAACATTTACGGTAATTTAAAATCGCACAGTTATATTCTCGAGATGTGGAAATGTTTGGGGAAGGAGGAAGGTGGGGGGTTCTGTCTGAGAGAAAAGAGGAGTGTTACTGGCCAAATTGTGTTACCAAAGATCAAAATTGGAGCATTTGCTATGGGTTCTCATGACTAATCATTTCCAGTGGTGCATGTACTCAAGACACAGAGAGTTGTCGCTAGCATGTGTCGCGTGTTGTATAAATGATGAGACATTGAGGAGGTGAGATTTACATTTTACACACGCGTGTCTCAGGTCTCTGTTTTGCCTATCTTTTGTGTGTGTGTGTATATATATATATATATATATATATATATATATATATGAATTTTTAAAGTCTATTGAATAATATTTTCAACGATATCATATCATGATTATTTTTAGTTTATTTGTGGTTTTTCATTTTTTTCATCTATTGTTCATTTGCAGTTATTGTGTATGGCTTTTTCATGGCGAACCCATGAGTGAATCAACTTGTGGAATTTTGTTTGGTTTCCGTTTCATTTTTGTTCTGTTTATAAAAGCAGTCTTTCAGGCTTGTGGTGCCGTCTTTCAGGCTTGAGAATCGTGCAGATGTTGTTGTGTGA